TGTTCTGTTCGCGTACACCCCAGAGCTCGCGGAGCATATATATATATATATATATATATATATATATAATATGTTTAACATATTTTGAGCATTAATTTGAATATTTTCGGTTTGGGAGTTTGGGCCGGCCGAAAGCCACAAACTGATGCGGTGTAATTCAGTAGGAACTTAAATTGCTTTTTCGGAAAATCATAATATTTAAAGAAAGTTCACTCCTTGCTTTTTATTCTCGAGTACTTTCATAATTTTTTTTTCTCATATTTATATTACAAGATTTCATTAAATTCATATACGTATAATTTTGAATTTTGTTGAATATTTTTTGTAATATAATTTGATTTATATTTTCGTTAATGTTTTATGATTAAAAACAATCTAAATTATGATCAAAATTGAATCCCAGAATCAAAAGATTCATTGAAACTATTAAAAAAATAAAATAAAATTATAATAAGACCGTAAACGAGGTTTCTTTGAAAACAATAACTAGCATGAATTGCCACCCAATTTCCATAATAAAAAGCTAAAGTGGTAAACTTATAAATTTGGGAAGAAAAATAATAATCTAAACTCATTTTTCTGATTCTTCTTATTGTTTGTTTTTAGTTCATATTAATTCTAACGTGGTGTAATATAAATTTGAATAATGCAGTCTCCACCCATAACTTCGAGAAAAATTTGCGTACGTAAGTCGTATGCAACGCTGCATGCATAACCGAGGTTAGAGTCGCGTTATATGAGCATTATATTCTTGGTATATCCCTGGTAACCTTCATATATCTTCTATATAACCTACGTGTAACCTACAGATGTGTGAAAACAGAAGCGCGGAACTTATTTGTAAGTTCAAACAGGTTATAGGTAGGTTATATGAAGATTACATCCAGGTTACAGGCGATATAACACGCATATAATACAGATATAACGTGAATATAACATCCATTATGTACGCAGCGCTGTGTATGTCTTACGTACGCAAAATTTTTCTCATAACTTGAGGGAAAAAAAAAAAAACAATCTAAATTATGATCAAAATTGAATCCCAAAATCAAAAGATTCATTGAAACTATTAAGAAAATAAAATAAAATTATAATAAGACCGTAAACGTGGTCTCTTTGAAAACCATAACTAGTATGAATTGCCACCCAATTACCATAATAAAAAGCTAAAGTGGTAAACTTGTAAATTTGGAAAGAAAAATAATAATCTAAACTTTTTTTTCTGATTCTTCTTATTGTTTGCTTTTAGTTCATATTAATTCTAGCTTTTTTTTTCCCCACGACACTGAGGCACCCTTTGAATAATGCAGTCTCCACCCATAACTTCGAGGAAAATTTGCGTACTTAAGCCGTATGCAACGCTGCGTACATAATCAAGGTTAGAGTCGCTTTATATGAGCATTATATTCTTGGTATATCCCTTGTAACATCCATGTAACTTCTATATAACCTACATGTAACCTATATATGTGTGAAAACAGAAGCGCGAAATTTATTTGTAAGTTTAGACAGGTTATATGTTGGTTATATGGAGATTACATCGACGTTAATACAGATATTACGTAAATATAACATCCATTATGTACGCAGCGCTGACTATGTCTTAGGTACGCAAATTTTTTCTCATAACTTGAGGAATAAATAAATAAATATATATATCGTTGTAGGGAGTGTAAAATAATAAAAAAAAGATGTGTTGAATTGATTTAAATTCCCATGTTTTAATTGTTTAAACAAAGAAGCATAGCTGCTTGTTTGTAGGCCTTGAAAAGAAGACAAATGAAGAATAATTTTTGGGTCTGATGCTTTCTCATGAGAATAGATTGGAGAGAGAGATTTCTATTTACTTGAAAAGTACATAGTTAAGTTTGTGTTGTTCCCAGAGCTGCTACTGTTCTGCTGCTCCGCTGCTGTAATTATATTAAACCTTTTTTTGTCTGAAAGTAGTTGGAATGGTGTGGCATGCTAGTTGTTGAGCTTTAGGTGGTGGGCGTAGCTTTCAAGTCTTTTTTTTTTTTTTTTACAGACTTTTGCCTTTTTACTTTTGCTTCATGTAACGTGCACAAGTAACCCTACATTCTTCTTTGCGCTCTTCTCTATAAAGTGAAGGAAAGTGGGAAGATATTAGGTGCTCAAATGGCTAGACTCTATTTAATTTGAGTTTAAACATCATAGTGATCTCCTTATTATTTTAGTGTGATCAAACTAATTTTAGAAAATCATATTTTTCTAATTTAGTCTCTTAACCATACAATATTAAGTTAAAATGAAGCTAACAACAAAGTTTTTATCTTACTAAGTAGAGTTCGTTACATGAAACCTTTTTCTCCATTGAGTCCTATTTAAGTGTCATACTTTAATTTAATTCTAATAAAATTAAGACCATTTTTTATTCAACAGGCCCAAGTCACTTTATTTCTACCTTTACCTTTCTTAATGTAAGACAAATCTAAAACATCTACTCTCCTAATTGGGTGATCAAATGACCAACATTTAATGTGACCAAACCATCTAAGACGACTCTCTCTAATCTTGTTTGCCTTTGGAGCTACTCCAACCCTTTGACAAATAAATTCGCTTCACATTTTGTCTCTAAGTGTAAAGTCACTCATCCATCTGAGCATTCTATTCTCAAGTAAATTTAACTAAATTTTTTACTTCTCATTTACGGACTACATTTTAGACCATTAAGCATTCCATGTCACACTACCATCTTATGAAATTTTCCTTGAAGTTCAAGAAATACTTTTCTACCACCCAATAGGCTTGATGCATTCCTCCACTTCAACCATCCAAATTGAATTCTACTAATAGTATCTCCATCTCTAACACCATCACTTTTAACAACATACCCGAGATATCGGAAATGTTCACCTATTTTATAGACTTGATCAACCATTATTATAACCTCACCTTAAGATTTACTACTATTAAAATTATATCACATGTATTTTGGATATACTCAAACGAAAGTCTTTAGACTCCAAATTTGACCTCCATAAATCAAGTTCTTCCTGAACTCTCTCTCTCTCTCTCTCTCTCTCTCTCTCTCAAGTTCATAAGAAATACATCATCAGTGCTCTCTCTCTCTCTCTCTCTCTCTCTCTCTCAAGTCCATAAGAAATGCATCATCAGTGAAAATCATACACCAAGGTATATCCTTTTGTAAATGTTTAGCAAGAACATTTATATGCATTACGATAATGCAGGCATTAACCATGCAAATATATGTGACGATGAAGTTATAATGAAGTTTAAGTTTAAGTGTTGATCCCACAAATAACTTATTATTTTTTAAAATAGTTTACTTACTAATTTACTAATCATAAGTTTGGTTCAAAAGATTTTTGTATTTGAGATTCTAGAAATTTTCTAAATTCAATCTTTAAAATTTAAAGACTAAAGTGAATGAGTGTTCTTTCAAGTTTAGAACTCCCCCTTAAATTGGTTTCAAAAAAACCTTTGTTAGTCCAAGTGATTTTTTTTTACTACAGATGAAAATATGAGCATAAAGTGAATGAGTGTTCTTTCAAGTTTAGAACTCCCCATTAAATTGGTTTAAAAAAAACCTTTGTTAGTCCGAGTGATTTTTTTTTTTACTTAAGATGAAAATATGAGCATGATACTTCTAATTCTCTTTTGATCAGATATAATAGGCACTAGTTTCATATTACTATTAAGTTTTATTAACCCTGCTAGGATTATTAGGCACCGACAATCGCTAAAATGTGCAAATATCTAGTGGTAATACTTGTTTCACCAAACACTTGTGTTTTAATCTTGTTGTGCTTCTAGTCTTCTTTCGATAGTTTTAGATTATAACAATTTTTATCAATAAAATTGGCCAATTTCATTGTAAATTAAGTTTGAAAAGATAACATATCATCATAGTCATTTGAAGTTCAAGAAACTAACATGAATTCTCCTATACTCAATAAAAATAAATCTAAGAAAGAGAAAAGTAAGTGATAAACGTGATTTGAAACAGAAATATGAATTT